CACCCTTCAGACTTGCCTACAAATCTCAACTGAGATTTCCTCTTCCTGGGTGACAAAAAAAAAAAAAAAAAAAAAAGAAAAGAAACTCTATCATGGTGCTATTTTCCTCCTGGAGCTGCACCCCCGTTGTCAGGGGAAGAGAAAGGTTCAGGGATATAAAGAGAGTATTTGCATTCGTTAGGAGCAAAACATCAAGACACACATGGCCCCATGATGTACCTTAGCCTCTCATTTAGAATGCGAGGACCAAATCTGAAATCCAACAAGTGTGAGTGCTTGACTTAAGATGGAGTTACTGCCCAAGAAACACAGCAAGTTGAAAATATCCTGAGTAGACATGCATTTATCCCACCTAACCTACTGAATAGCAGGGTTAGCAAAAGGACAAAAACTCAGTCATTTATTCTGGTGATCTGACTGACTAGACGCCTTGGTTCACTGTGGCTACCCAGCATCCTGTTGGAGCAGTGAACTTTATGTTGTTAGCATGGGAGAAGATCAAAATTTGAAGTTCTGTTTCTACTGCCTCACCTTCACCTTTGAGTCAAAAAAAAAAAAAACAACCCTCTAATTCCAACCATTATAAGTCAAGAACCACCTGTACAATATACACAGTTAACAATATAGAATATTAAATACTGACATTATTCAGCAAGGGCAGAGACAAGAATGAACATTAAACACATGACCTGTGTATAGAGGGGACAGCAGAGAGAAAAGAAAGCAAGTTGAGTAAGCCAAGCCGGGGGCCCGTGTGGACCACTTACGGTGGGCTGATGGCAGATGCTGAGAAACAAGGTTGGCAGTGACTGAACACTCTCAGTTCCCTCTCACCTCTAAGGGAACCAGAAACCAAACCTCTGAACTAGAAATTGGTCCAGTGTCTGAAGAGAAAGATAGAACAGAAGCCTGGGACTCTTTATTCTAGCTCCCAGAGAGATCCTGTTCTGGAAACAACACCTCCCAGCAGGAGAGGCTCATGGCTTCGGTGCCAGCATAGATGACTGTCCAGGAGGCTTTGAATTCCCCTTCACTGAGTGGGTTCACCAATGTGACCTCTGAGTCATTTTGTTGGTTTTCTGCAAGGAAACAGGATTCCATGTTTTGTGGTCATCTCTCCTTACAGAGGTTCCCCCACAGAATTGATTAATCAGCTCCCATTAGGATTTGTGGGTTTGGGTCAGTCCCAGGTTTGGGGTCTACCAAGAGAGCAGGCAGGGGTAGGGGTGTCCTCACCACCTACAACTACTGTTTGATTAGCATTTTGGAATGCTTAATCCTTTTGTGTAAAAATGATTTTGGAAAGTGCAGAGACCACCTTTCCATAAAGGAATAAAGAAAAGCCGAGTCTTTCATAGTCCTATCACGCTGAGAAAGGCCCTGATTTAATTTTCATGTCTTTTTTGGTATTTTTGGTATTTTGTTGTTAGTAGACTACCCCCTACAGTTCATTGGCATATCTTTTTTTTTTTTTTTTGGTTTTACGAGACAGGGTTTCTCTGTATTGTTTTGGAGGCTGTCGGTCCAGCCTGGCCTCGAACTCACAGAGATCCGCCTGCCTCTGCCTCCTGAGTGCTGGGATTAAAGGCATGCGTCACCACCGCCTGGCTTCATTGGCATATTTTAAGACTACATCTCCTTGGATTATGAGGATTTAACTGTTTTAAAAGATGAACATTTTATATTAAAATTTTAAGATCAAGAACACACTAGACCACGTATACAACTCTATAGAACTTCCCTTGCAAGTTGAACATTGAACGATACTAATAAGGAAGCATGCTAAAATAGTCTAGTGTGTTGAAAATGAAGCTGGATGGAGGGTGATAGCTATATTAAGCTTTGTTAAGAGCTTTTCAAATTAATTATTCAACTTTTAAGCATTATGGTAGATATCCCCCAAGGTGGCCATCAATGATCCTGCCCCCTGGTACTCACAACCTCGTTCAGTTTCTCCCACACGGCAACCGTGGTAGGCTCTGTGGCCAAAAGCATATAGTGGAAGTGAAGGCATATGACTTCTAAGATCAGGTTAGCAGAGATTGTGACTTCATCTGAGGTGCTCCTTCCTGCATGGCACACTCTCTGGAGTCACTCACAGTGCGGGAAACAGTTTCCTGACTGGGTAGCTATGGAGAGGCCTGCTTGGAGAGGGACTAAGACCCACAGGCTGCAGGGATATGAGGCATGTTAACAACCTGTGGACCTTAGATAAAGTAGATGTTCAGCCTTGGCTCAGTTTTGAGATTTTTGTACAATGGCCAACATTTTAAGATGCTCTGAGAGGCTGGGCCAGAACCCTAAGCCATTTAAATCATCCCCTGGGTGCCTGAATTAAAAGCACAGTAAGATAACAAACGTTTTAAGCTATAAAGGTTTTGGAAACTTGTCCGACAGAATTTGCCTAACACAAGTAGCCTTATTCATTTCTGAGACAGCAGACTCCCACAACAGGCTGGACTCACACTGTATCACGGTAGGTCTGAGAGGCTGGCATGGTTGTGTGGGCCTTGATGCTGGGTGTGGGCTGCTCATGTTGGCAGAGGGTGGACATAAGAAGTACATACCCAAATGGCCTTGTTTGTGATGGGGACATGGTCTTTTAAAAAATATGTTTTTAATTAATTCCTTGCTTTGAGTGTACGTTTGTCATGGCATGTGTGTTGAAGTCAGAGGACACCACCTTGCAGAGTGGGTTTGTCTTCCTACCATGTACTTCCCAGGGATCGAACTTATGTCGTGAGATTTGCCAGCAGGCGCCTTTATCTGAAAAATCTATCTTGCTGGCCCAGAAATGGTCTGTATTAAGCGTGGTGATAGTCGACTAGAATTTGGCAATCTTTCTTAACAGTCACAGTCAGCTACAGCCTGAGTGGGGCTGACAGACACTTAAGAGTTGTGGAATGATTTGTGCAGGGTTCCAAGCTTTAAAAGGAAGAGCTCAGATTCATATCCAGGCCTGATTCCAACAATTAGAAAGTGAGCAGACAGGCAAATAGACTAGTTTACAAGCTCCGTGCACATACCAGCTCGCTGTGGCCTCACAGCTGATATGCGAAAACTGATTTCCCCATTTCCCAGTGCAGGAGAATGACCCGGGGGGCTGGAATGGTGTGGGGGCTTGTCCTAGCCCAGCAACAAAAGTGATGCCCAACACCAGGGCACACATGGTCAGCCCTGGCATTACACCAGGAAAATGGCTCTTGGTCTGGACTTACATTTCAAGGGCTCATCTCTACTCTTTTTTTTTTTTTTTTTTTTTGGTTTTACGAGACAGGGTTTCTCTGTATTGTCTTGGAGGCTGTCGGTCCAGCCTGGCCTCGAACTCACAGAGATCCGCCTGCCTCTGCCTCCCGAGTGCTGGGATTAAAGGCGTGCGCCACCACCGCCCAGCCCTCATCTCTATTCTTTTACAAGGCATCTTTCTCAGAGGTGAGAAATAGATGGAGCCAAGAAGACATTTCCCCATTCACACACAAATCGAAAGGTTCTCTGTGCATACTGGCCTGAGCCCGCTTGTTCAGCATGGTGTTCTCTTGCTTTCTGACTTGCAACACACTGCTGTGTGCATTTCTAGTTTGAAGAAGTTATGTTTGGGAGACCAGACGTGTGGGCCAGAGTGCCCACGCACATAAGTGCATGTGAGCATCCTTGCGGTGGCTGGAGCCAGCTAGGCTAGTACTGGCTTTCTCTAAACCTTGTATCTTGACGCAGAACACCAAGGAGTCACAATTCTATACTCCTTACAGATGAATACCTGCCCATGTAGAAGGACAGGGCGTATTTCATTTAAAATCCTGTTAGCTTTAATTCCAACATTAAACTGTTTTGATGTAGCACACAGCGGCATTACAAATGTTGGGGGTGAGCCTGCACACAGCCGCGCTCTTTGCAAGTACGGGAGAAGAGCCAAAGACACAAGATTTGCATAGGTGCATAGCTGAAATAAGGAAAGGTTTGGAAAAACAATGGGACATGGAATAGGGAGAAAGGAATAGATATTTAGGAAAGGAGGGAGTGTAAGAAGAACAGAGAAGCTGATAAAGGATATTGTGGCAGATGAGCTGGTGTAGATTCCTAGATGTATTCCTCTGTGGGGACACCAGACCTTGAGCAGAAACCCACTTCCCCTTTGGCCTGGGAGCAGGCATCTATGTAATGTTTACTGAAAACAATTTAGTGCTTTAGGGCTCAGATAAGGGCTTGCTCACTGAAATACCATGCCTTTCACACCTCCTACGGCTAGATGCCTCTTCCTGTTGCCCTGTGGTGTCTCCCCGATTCTGGGGCCGGAGATTAGACCACCAGCCAGGAGGAAAGAATGGTATGTAAATGGATGGCAAAAGTCCTTAAAAAAGGGAAGCTCCTTTTTCTTGAGAGACTTCTCCTGAGACTTCTCCTGAGAGCTCTCCTAAGCGGACTGGGGTCTCCTCCTAAGCTGACTTGGGAAGCATAAAGTTTTCTTAAAGCAACCGACCGGTCTCTGTGTCATCTATCCCGACCACCTCGCTACATTTTTGGATGCAGGCCGCACAGCAGGTGCGACATTCCTCCATTTGAATCTGGGCTGAGACTGTGGCTAGCTTTGATCAATAAATCAAAATAATGCTACCATTTCTTTTCTGAGGCTCAGGAAACCTGAAGCTTCTGTTCCACTCTCTCAGAATGCCATGTGAGAAGTCTGATGGGCTTATGACCGCCGTGCCATGAGGTAGCCCAGGCTGACTAAAGAGAGAGCAAAGCCACATGGTAGAGACTGAGGCACCAGGTGCATGGACATTGTTTCCCAGGCCTTAAGCAGCTGAGCGCAGCATGGTGGGTGATCTCAGCCGACGCGGAACAGAAGTGCTCCCTGCCTGACCCGGTAGCTCGTGGGCAGGTAAGATGTTCCCTGTCTGAAGCTCCTGAGTTTTTGAGACAGCTTATAAGGAAGCAATACAACAGCTAACTAAAACAGACACTTGAGACCCGAGAAGAATAAAATCAGCTGGAGTCAAGGGTGATGTTGAAAGGACACATTTTGAGAAGGTTATAAAGAGTATTTCAAGAGCGAGGGTGGCTTGACACTGGGCAAAGCGAAGGAAAAGGGGAACACCTGCCCCCACATGTCTTGGGCAAGTGATGAGCTCTCGTCTATCCCAGCGGGCTTTGGCATCAAGCTTTGTGGGACGGCGGCTTCAGAGACCCTCTTCTCGGTGTCCTTGCACATCCAGGTGCCTTCCTACAATATCACCGCACGTCCGTCTCAGGGAAGGAAAATGGACAGAGCTTCTCTTCCCATAAGTGCTGGCCCCTTTCCTACCTGATTTTGCAAGCAGACAGCTCCTGTCTGAGGCTGCGTTGGTTCTGTGAGATCTCAGGCCTGGGATGGAGACTCATGGAAGAGCTATAAGCCACACTGCCGAAGGACTGGCCAGAACTTGACACCTGGGCCCTGGAGCAGGCTCATAAAAATGCAAGAATTTTTATGTTCATATTCCATACTATGGAATGACCACCATTGTTATCAGCTACCATTGACTGAGCGCCAAGCAATAAACGCTTTCAATCTATTAACTCATTACCAGGACCTCTGTGAAGATCTTGCATCACCATCTATAGTTTAGAGAATAGAATGTTGGGGCCAGAGCCGATGATTTACCTGAGGCCATAGTACAGTGAGTGGCAGAGCTGAAACACGAACCCAGTTGAATGCCATACATTTAACTCTTAGGGTAGGGAGGACTATCATGACTCTAGTCCGCTGGAAAGGGCTTCTGGAGTACCCTGGTCTCAAGGCATTCCTAGACATGGGACTTGCATTCCCTCTCATTTGGCCACACCATTCTTTGTTTGTTTGTTTGTTTGTTTGTTTGTTTTTGAGACAGGGTTTCCTCTGTGCAGCCCTAGCTGTCCTGGAACTAGCTCTAGTGGACCAGGCTAGCCTTGAACTCACAGAGACTCACCTACCTCTCCCTCCCAAGTGCCGGGATTAAAGGTGTGTGTCACCGAAGCCCAACTTGGTTACACCATCCTTACAGGGCAATGATTCACAAGGCCCAGGAGAGGTGCCCACGCACCTAACTGGTATCCACGCCCTCTTGTCAAGCAGTACTCTAACAATGACAACTTCAGAATTCCCTTTTACCATGACCTGAGGCAGGCAAGGTTTTCCCTTCAGGAGCATCTTTCTGAGGCTATGTACTGATTGGAGTGGACTGTGGACCATGATTGATTACACAGAGTGATGTGCTTACACGCACACGGGCAAGGGTCCTTGCAGTCCAAGACTGAACAGGAGGTGGTATACTGTCAGAGGCCTCACTTGTGACCTGGCCTCAGTTCCTGCAAATCTTGGGAGATGGCCTGCCCATAAATCTTCCCATTGGAGACACTGAAAGCAAGACTTAATGACGTCGCTCTGTTTCACAGCCTGGCTATCGCTGGTCTCAGTCTCCCGTGTACTCTAAGAAAGCTATTGGATTTGAGGGTGGGCTCACACCAGTGCTAGCTGGGGGAAGGAAGGGAGGCCCCAGCATCAGCGGTGGTTGTTGCCTTCATGCAAATGTGAACACCTACACACATACCAAAGAGCTGGGAGTGTGGCTTTGAATGCACCCATGCGTTTGGATGACTGCAAAGTAAGAAAGGCGAGCATGTAAGGGGAGTGGAAGAGAAGAGACCATGGGAAAAGGAACATGCGCACGGGGGTGGGGGGCGGGGGAGAGAAAAGAAGTCCGCATGTGCATGGAGTAGAGAAGGCAGCTAGGTCTACACCAAGTGCCTACCACTGGTTCCGGAAACCAAGAGTGACTAAGCGCCAAGGAAAGGACAGGGAATGTGGGGGGCAGGAATGTGCTTTCTGGTCTTTGTGCACGTGCATGAGATCAGGGCACAGTCCCAGGAGAGACCTCAGGAGAGTAAGAGAGCTAGCGTGCCTTTCAGCTGCCAGGGAGCTTGCGTGGCGGACGGACAAAGGCTGATGGAGCTGCAGAGCCAAGTGAGCTGTGCAGGCAAGAGGAAGAAGGCATGCAGGTGTGTCCTCGGGAGGTGCTCGTCCACCCCCACAGAGCCCTGCCTGCGAGTCTGAGGCAGGCCACGTGCTTGGGTGACTGTGTGGGCACGTGCGTGCGTGTACGCGAGCGTGCGGCTGTGTCAAATGAGAACAAACACAAGTGTGCGCACACGGGGGAGTGCCCTGGAGGGTGTGAGCAGCCTACCTGCTTTGAAGGCAGCTGTGGGCTTCCTGGTTTGCTGGTGATGTCTACAGACATCTTCACTCCAGAAAGCATTATCTAAGGAGGTCTGTCTGACCTGCCTGACGCTGGCTCAGGTCCGGGTGACCGAGGCTCTGAGTGTTGGCCATGTCACTCTACTCTGAAGTTTGTGTGGGAATGAATGAGTCATCCTGGCGTGGCTGGCCCTAGCTCTGCCTGTGACTTGCCCAGCAGGGAAGAGAGTAGGGAGGGAGAGAAACTACTTCTTACTGTGTTCTTATACCATCATTATCATTATGCAATTGCTCACAGCGTCCATGCGCTCTTCTAGAGAGGCCCAGCACCCCAGTGCTCTTGACCTCTGTACATCCATTTGTTTTATGACCAAGTTTCCATTTAGGTCAGCAGATCTGGATGACTGGCCTTTGTGGCAATCTGCTCCACACCGGGCTCAGGTCCACACAGACCATCACAATGTTAAACTACCTTGTAGTCCTTCTCCTCCTCCCTCTGCTTAGCCTTCATCTTTTTCTATAGTCTTTCCCACTGTTTGCCAAGTGACGCCTCCTCCTTGCTTGTGGCCCATCCTCCCTTTGCAGTGAACACTTATGTAGCACTGCGGTGCGGCAAACTCCTCTCTCGGCTCTCTATTAATTCGCTGAGCCATCCAACAGTTCTGTATGGCACTGAAGACTAATCTTGACGCTTTATAGATAGCAGATCCAGGGGGAGGGGGTGATCCAGGGGGAGGGGTGAAATTAGCATCTCACTGATTAGTGACTGAGCCTGGCCTAAGACCTGAGGCCCCACTTTTCTCCCTTTAAATAATGTATTTAATGTGTGTGGGTGTTTGTTTGCAAACATGTCTATGCACTACATGCATGGGGTGATCATGGAGCAAATGGAGCTGCAGACGATTTGTGGGTGCTGAGAATTGAACCAAGACCCTCTGGAAGAACAGCCCATACTCTTACGAGGTGAACCATCTCTCCAGCTTGCAAACCCACTCTTTTTTTCTTTTACTCTTTTCACCTGAAGGTTTTTATTATGAAAGAGGTAAAAATTGAGGCTTTCAATCCTAAGCACAGGGCAGCAACAGACGAAGTGAAAAGATGTTGGGTAAGAACCAAGTTATCTATAGCGTATGTCTTATAGTTTTTTTTGGGGGGGGAGCAAGTTACATTCTTCAGAAAGCCCCATCATCATCATCATCAACAACAACAAAAAGCAATATTAAAGCAAGTACAGATACAAGCTGCCTCTCAGTAGCATGTTCCATAACCTCTAGTATGAGAAATGACCATAACTTTAAGAAGCATCCCTCAAGTAGGGTTTTGGGGATTCCATTAGGAAAGCTTCCATTTGGGGATATCGTTAGTCAGCTGCATCTGAATAATGGTCTTTACTAGACATTTCCCTCACCACATATTTTCCTGATTTCTCTTTATCAAGAACAGAGGTGCTAAGCTGAGTATCACATTCAAAGCCATCTTCACCAGGACATTCCTGAATAAACTACAGCCTGCAATTCAGACCCGGGTGGCAGTTTGTTTGCATAAGCAAGTCTGAGTTGGAATACAGCTGAAGACATGCACTAACATGTGGCCCATGACTACTTTTACACCGTAACAGAGAAAGGCACGAATTTAAAGAGAGAATATATCAACCACAAAACATGTTCTAAGATTTTCATTAAATATAATATGTACAATTGTGAGGTCATAGATGTCCAACCCACTCTTAATACATAAATATAGTCCTGTGTGGTAGGCACTTTCTCAGTTGAGTTTTCTATTGGATCTTCTGAGCCTACTACAGTGTCAGTCACATGCAGATGCTCAGTTAGTGGTGAATGAATGAAAACATGGCTGAATAAATAGTGGGCATGGAAGATGGAGGACACAGAAGTGAGCCAGAGAGGGCTTGCCTTAAAGAGCTCATGGTCACAAAAGATAGACAATGATTCCAATACCATATCTGCCTGGCATCCTGGGTGTCTAGGGGGCATACATCTTCCTGGCCTTTGGCAGATGGGGCTTTCCAGAAGTAGGACACAGAAAGAGACAGTGACCCTGCCTGACTCCCCTGGGGGGGGGGGGGAGACAAACACACCTTCACTCTTTCTCGCTCTACAGACAACATGGACTCTATGGAGACAACAGAGGGAAGAACACAGGGTAGTGGTGAGGACACGGGTTCAGGAATGGCTGGGCTGGGCCTTCCCTTGCCAAACATCATCTAGCTAAGGGAATTTGGGAAGGAAGCCCAACGTCCCTGGGACTTGGTCCTGTCATCTGTAAGATGGGGGCAGTAAATGATACCAACTTCCTGAGCATTGCATAAGGCAGGCAGTGCGCCAGCTTCAATGGAGATGACTAATCTCCTCTTCCATTCGACATTGTTTCTGGCTCTGGGGGAGGAGAGTTAGAATTAAACATATTGTGCTTCCTACTGTAACCTCTCTGCTGTGGCTTTGTCCCATTTTCCAGGATTGGCTCAGTGCAGAACTTGTCTGTGAACCTTCCTTAAGGTAGGGACCATGTCTCATCTACCACTACATCCCCAGTACCCAGTACAGTATCTGAGACATGGTGGGGCCTCAGTAAAAGGACTTGCTGAACAAATGAGTGGCTACATTTATTTACTTCCCCAGGACCTTTGTGAAGATGAATATTCACGTTGATGTTATTTCCACTTTCATATGAAGGACTGGGGGCAGGTTCAGCAAGGTTAAATGACTCGCCCGTAAACATGCAGCCTGGAAATAGCACAGTCAGACTCAAATGCCAAGCCCCATGCTCTATCCTCCATGCCACGATCCTCCTTGGGTTCCTATACGTTATGTCCTACTTTCCGGGGATATTTTCTAGCCAGTGGGGCCATCTCTGATTGTAGAATCATCTCCAAGTTCTGTGACTCATATCTGAATCACAGAAGTATTTAATAGTTGCAAGAGACTTTGATGTCACTGAGACCTCCCACCCACTGTGGAAATTTCCTCTCCATTGCTTATCTCCCAATACTTGAATGCTTCCAGTGATGGAACACTCATTTCCCTTCTCTGGAATCATCAGTTCTATGAGTGGATCACTCTGAGAGTCAGAAAGTAAGTAAGTTTTTCATCCTGTGGGCCCGGATCTTCTTTTATGTCTATGTGTTGGACTTAAGTCATACCCCTAAACTATGCAGGGTAGATGTGCTGTCTCAGGCATACAGTGGCCCTTCATATAGACTCAACTTCCACAACCTTCAGAGAATCCTTCTTTTTCCAGCTAGCTCCTTCTGGTCCTCCAGCATGCCTCCTATGAATTGCATCATTGCTGCACCGGCAGAACCAGGGGATTACGGTGTGCAATGGCGCCCCTACCGTATAAGGGAGATCTGCACTAGGGGCTCAGGCTGCTAGACAAGCCAGGGGAGATGGGGAAGGGTGGGCAGTGGATGCTGTGGTTGCT